AGTCGATTGTCACTAAGGTGATAATCGATTATCACCCAGCTAAAGTCTAGCCAGCTGAAACCCGTTTTGAAAAATCGAGGTCCAAAAACGTGTTCCCAAAATTAAAAACCAGGTTTGGAAAATATTGTATATGGTATAAAATAGTGAAAACAAGATTTGTTTGGTAAAAACCAAGTCTCCAATGTCGTATAATACGTGCTTGCGGTTTAGACCGTTTTTCACGTGTTAGACCGAATGACCAAGATACAAAAGTGGTTTTTATAAAATAATTATTTGGGAACATTTTAAAAATGCTCAAAGGTAAAAAAACAGGGTTTAAAATATTAAAAACCACGGAGTTGGTTCGGGCGACAAAAGCCGAACGCCGACTTAGGTGGTTTTGGTTCTGAGCAAGGACCATGGATTTTAACAATAAAAGAAATCATCAAAAATGTTTGTTTTGATGCACAAAAAATATTTTATGATTTGTAAAAATTGTTTTGACTTTTTGAGAACCAAGACTTGAATTTATTGTCGGTTTTGATCACAAAAGACCGACTCGACTAAGTCTTCAATTCCTGATCTTGTCCTTGAGTCGTTTAGGTCTTGTTCCAAGCCATTCTTCACGCCTTGAGTTATTCAACGAAACTCTTTATATCCACGGAGGTTTGGCAATTATCAAAACCTGTCAGAAATGAACACGACTTTAGTTTATCGTATAAAGCGTGTTCCAACAGTGAGTAAGGGGTATGAATGGTTGTTGAAGGAAAATATCTGCATACAAGGATACCAAATGGTGTGGAATAAACTAACTATGCCTAAGCATCAATTCATCTAATGGCTATTATGGAAAAACAGGATCCCCACCCAGGCTAGACTGAGCAAATTTATGAACATTGATACAACTTGTGGTCTATGCAGGGATGCTATTGAAGACAAAGACCACATATTTTATGAATGCAGATTCACTAAAGAAGTGCAAATCAATATTGGTCAGTGGATCAACTATAGATGGCAAGCAGTGAATGGGGTGGAATGACAAGATGAATGCTGGAGGTTAAAAGGGAGGAAGAGAAGGCAGGTGGTGATAGCTGTGTTAGCATCTATTTGCTATGCGATATGGAGAGCTAGAAACAAGAAAATTAAGTTAAATGAATAACTAACAATTGAGGATTGCTGCGCTTTTATTAGATTTCAGCTTAAAACTTTTGTTAATTCTAAGCTCAAGTCCAATTATTTGTCATAGATCATAGATAGGCCTACAAGAAGGCTTACGGCTGAACCTCTAAATGGTGATGTATTTGTATCTGATCGCTGTTTAATAATATGAGCATTTGTTCAAAAAAAAAGAGTATATTATGATCAAACTTTTTATCAAATTGGAAAATTATTTCATGAAATTTAATATTTTATATCTGGATTTATTATGATATTTTATTTCTGAAATATGGCTGAAAATTCATAAAATTGTAATTCATCCTTGGAACAAATGTGTTTCAGTTTGGACAAAAGCATTTCTATTCATTTAAGTATTGAAAAGAATTTATTCAACCACTTACACCATTATTTCAAAATATTCCTTCAAATTGAGGTGTTACATACAGAGTAATTTTTTTAATTGTATCTATTTGAGATTTTGTACATCATCTTCTTCTTCAAAAAAAACCATTTCAACCCACGGGTCATTAATCCCCCAGCCCAACCCGAAATAAACCTGGCCCACCCCAATCCATTTTTTCAACTCTTTCTAGTTTTTTCAACAACCACTTAAAAAACTTAATTATATGCAAATGATGAATTTACAATAGCATCATGTATCCAAATTTATAACATATCACTTCAAATACAAACATAGATGAATTCTTTTTCATCCAAAATAAGTTTTCTTACATATTTATTTGGATAGTCTTTTAATTGAGTGATTTTTTAACACATTTAATTTTTACAATATTTTTCAACTCCTTTCAGTTTTTTCCAACTTCTTTTAGTTTATACCAATATCGAGCTTCAGAATTCCAACTGAAATGAAGAGACCCTTGATATGCACATATTTTATACACTTTTTAGACATATTTTGAAGGAGTTTTGAGTCCCAATAGAATTTAATATTTATATTTTATTTCAATTTTCCGTTTTATTTTGGTAGAAGAGTCCTATGCTTGGTTTCATATGTTTTGCAGGCATTTTGAGGTCATTTGGATGCATTTAGGATAATTGCAAGGACGGAAAATAAACATGGAAGTTTGGGACCAAAATAAATGGAAGAAACTTGAAGGAATGAAGGAATCAAACAAAAATAAAGCATAAAACAGCCCTGGGATTCGAACCTGATTATTCGGCATATCACTGGCGAACAGGGTTAATGTTCTTAACTGAAAGCCGGCTGACAAAACAGTGAACGGTGGGAAGCTTCGAACACGGGTGACATGGCAAGACAACCAGCTGCATTTCCATGTGCGCTACTGTAGTTGTATTGACTGGAATTGTAACTGTTCGTATATACTCCGTATATACGAATTTATCTAAAAAATCCACTTCCTTCTCTTCTTCAAAGAGGTTGGAACCCCCCATTTCTCTCCTCTCTCCCATCCAAATTCTCCTCCTCCATCACTAATATCTCACCACTTTCTTCATCCAAACACATAAAAATTACTTCATCATCATTTATCATATTTGGAGCTCAAGAACACATCTTCCATTTTGTAAGATTTTTATTATTGTAATAAATATTTATTCGTTTAAGCTTCAAACTATGAATTTCTAAATTCCATTGGGGTTAGAAGTTGGTGTAATTAATTGTCCATCTTAATATTTTGAATATTTTTAACATGGATTGTTGATTTTATTTTTACTTAGATGTTGTATTTAAAAATAAATAAATTTGAAATGTTTGTGATTTTTAATTAAGGGCCCAATCATAAACATAATTGTTACAAGGAACATGAGCTAAAATTGATATAATCATAAAATAGAACACTTTTTAAATACACCGTAAGCCTTCTCTACCTTTAACCGGGATTGAAGACTTTCGAGTGGAAATAATTATTGAGTTGTATTTTTACACCATTAAATTGGGTAAACATACAAAAAAATAATTATGGTTGTCGTTGCTACTATATAATTACTCCGGATTTATCATTAGCGTGTTAAAGTCGAAGTAGTTATTATTTAGGTGATTTGCGAGAGCGTCCCTAAATACTTTTCTGCAACTCCACACATTCTATATAAAAATAAATTGACAATCCAACTTTTATAAAAACATTGGACAATTAATTTACCAATTTCTACCCCTAACTTTTTATCATCAAAAACTTTGTGTTGTTTGGAACTCTCTTCTTTTACACTTTTTATTTTATCTCTAAAACCAAAAAGACCAAAATATTTTACAACTTCTTTTGTAAACTTTTGTTTAAATTAAATTAACTCGCGTCTCCCTGAGGTTCGACACCCTACTTACAAGGGATTCTTTTTAGTTGTTGTTTTTGCCCGTTCTATACTGCAAATCAACTTGGCGCCATTGCCGGGGAGACGGTTTGAGTTTTTTTTTTAACATAAGTTTTATTGTTTATTTGTTGTAAATATTTGTTATTAGTTTGTTTTCCTAACCTCTTCTTGCAGGTACTAAAAAAAAACAAAAACAAAACAAAAAAAACACAAAAAACCAAAAAACTAAAAAAAACCAAAAAAAACACACAAAAAAACCAAAAAAAAAAACTAAAAAAAACTGAAAAAAATATCCTTTGAATTCCTTTACTCTTGAACACTTATTGGACTTGGACATATTGACTTGGACATATTGGACATACCTGGACATATTGAACTATCCCACAGGTCGGATTTTCCGCCAACGGTGATTGGACATTTTTTTTCTTCTTCTTTATTTTTCCCGCTGACCGGCAAAGCCGTCACAGGTTTTGTACATTTAATTACTGCGCTTTACATTTCTGCATTTTTTTTTCTTTCTTTCCAGGCGTGCAAAGCCGCTATTGGGAATTATATCTATATATTATATATTATATATATTATATATTATATATTATATATTTATATACCATTGTTAACTCTTTTTATTTATTTTTTAGTGTCCTCGTTGGTTTATTACCGTTTGGCACTCTAACCACTAACTACTAACTAAGGTATCACTTGTCTCGGTGGTTTTTACCTCTTGACTTAAGTGAGAACCTTTTTATTAATTTTTACACATTACATTTTTTTTCTCTTTTCCTTTCCCCCTTTCCCTTCTCTTTTCAATTTTTCCTTTCCTCCCCCCCCCCTTTTTTTTATTTTCCTTCTATTTCCCTTTCCCTTCCCCTCCCCCTCTCTCTCTCTCACCCTCCCCAATCCCCTTCTTTTTATGTTAACGCGTTCGCGTGGGATTAATCAAGAAAAATTTTTCTTTCCAGAAATAGAAAAACATTTGAAAGAAATAAGAAAAAGAAAGAAAATGGAAGTCCCACAGAACGATGTTCTTGAAAATGTGCAGGGAATTCAGAGAAGACAAAATGAAGTTCCGAACAGGAGGACTCTTTCTGACTATGTCGCTCCTCCTGTGGCGAAACACAACAGTATTATTCCACCGGATGTCACAACAAACAACTTTGAAATCAAACCTGTTGTCATCCACATGGTCTCATCTGATCAGTTTGGTGGAGGACCAACGGAGGACCCACACAACCATATAACCAAATTCCTTCGAGCGTGCAATACGTTCAAAATCAATGGTGTGCCAACTGATGCAATCAGGCTCCGTCTGTTCCCATTCTCTCTAAGGGACAAAGCTCAAAGCTGGCTGGATTCATTTCCGAACAATCACTTCACAACTTGGGACCAGCTTCACGGTGAATTTCTCAAGCGATTCTTTCCGCCTTCCAAAACCGCAAAGATCAGGAGAATGATCCAAAATTTCAAGCAAAATCCCAACGAGCCCCTTTACGAGGCTTGGGAAAGATTCAAAGATCTTCAAAGGCAATGCCCACATCACAATATCCAAAGCTGGCACTTAATGACGGCTTTCTATGAAGGCTTAAATGAAAACTCACGGATATTGTTGGATGCCTCGGCGGGCGGATCATTCATGAGCCTTGAACTTGACGAAGCTGAAGAACTCATTGAGCGGATCTCAACAAACGGATCCACTTGGTACTCTGACCGTCCATCCACTCAACCGAAAATTGGAGGCATGTACGAAGTTGATCAAATGTCGGCCATGGCTGCTAAGGTCGATAGCATGATGAGCATGATCCAAAAGATTGCTCAAGTCTCTGCTGTGCAAAACACTGCGCCAGCACCGCCTCCTGTTCATGTTCTCATGTGTGTATCCTGTGGTGGACAACATGATCAATCCACATGTCCATGGGATGCAATGGAGCAAGTTGATTATGTCAACTACAACCGGCCGCAGCAACACCAAAATCCATTTGGCGGATTTAGTTCTCAAAACAGAAATCATCCTGGTTTCTCTTGGAACAATTCCAGTGGAGCTGCCAATCCACAAGCTTATCGGAGTTCACCACCCGGCTTTCACAATCAACAGCAACAACAATTTAGAGGTGGCCAAGGTTTTGCTAACAATCAACAAGTTAAGCAAAACCAAAGCTTCCCATATGTTCCAAATCAACAAAAGCCGATCCTGCCAACTCCTGAAACACCATCGGCTCCCGACTTGGATAACATTGTTGATCAGCTACTCAAATCTCAACTAGCCCAAGCCGAAACCTTGAAGAATATTTCTGAAGAGCTTACTCAACTTCGAGCTCACAATAGGATGCTTGAAAATCAAATCTCTAGTCAAGCATCAACATCCTCAACAAAGGTGACCGGAAAATTGACAGTTTGTCCTGAGAATCCAAGAGAACAAATGAATGCTATCACTACTCGGAGTGGGAAACAACTTCAATCTCCATCTCTTCCGAGTAGTGAGCCCGATGAAGAAATAAGGGAGGATGCCAAGGAAGAAGCTCAGAACAAAGTCAAAGGAGATGCTGCTGAAATGCTGCCGGAGTCAATTCAGATCAAAGAAGGAAAGAAGAAAGAAGATGAAGGTTTGGTAAGGAAATATGCTCCACCAATTCCTTTTCCAAACCGACTCAAGAAATCACATATTGAGGAACGAAGAACCAAGTTCTTGAACCGTATCAAGCAATTGGATATCTCTATTCCTTTGCTTGATGCTATCACTGAAATTCCTTCATATGCCAAATTTCTTAAGGAGATCTTAACAAA